AATTGTGAGGGGCTCGCTGCTCCCCCGCCTCTCTCCTTTGCCCAGGCCGGGCCGCGCGGCCCTCGCCGCCGCCCCTCACCCCCAGCCTGGTGCCTCAGGGTACCCGAGGCCTCGGCCGGCCGATCTGGCACCCTTCCGCCGTAGCGAAACGTGGGAGGAGCGGCCTGGCAGGCGGGGTTAGGGTGAGCCCAGTGCGCCACTTTTTGGCTAAAAACGACCTGTTTTCTTCTTACAGGAATTTCATGGTGACGGGCTTGCAGGATATTGACAAGTGCCGGCAGCAGCTTCACGATATCAGTGTGCCCTTGGAAGTTTTTGAGTAAGTAACTCTGTGTCTGGAAGGGAAGGTGCTGTAGTTGGTGTGATTTGAGGTGGTGTGGCTTTTCAGTGTGGGTATTTTCCCTGGGGACTGCTTCTGTCTTAAACTGCCATCTTCTGAATGCCTCACAAGAATGTGAGCAGGCAGGAGAAGGTAAGAAGTACCTTTAGCCTGTGAGAAGGCAGAAGGATAAGTGAGGTGATAAATTATATACCTGCTTTCAGATCTCTTTTTTTAATTTATGACTTTACATATGTAGGCAGTAACACAGATTCTGACGAATCTCGTGATGGAGTAACTAAGCTTTCGTTTTGGAAATACACTTTTACACTAGGTTAGAATCGAGATTTAAAGTTGTAGGTTAAAATAAATTAGGCCAGTATTTAGGTGTTTGGTTTCAGTAGTGGCAGTCTTCTTGTTGGCAGAGAATTAGAACAGTAAAAGCAAAATCTTGAATGTAGAGGGAGAGCTATACAAGAAAGCTTTTACGGTATAGGTTGCAAGTTAGTTAATTTCCTAGTGTTTCTTTTAAGTCCACATGTCACTGGTTTGCTATATTCTAGTGTATTATTGGCTATAGAGGACTTTTTTTCAGTTGGGCTTTCACTATCTGTAAATCTATGATGACAATCTTAAATGTTCTGTTTTCTTTATTCAGTGATTAAATTTCCCTTTGTCGGGCACTTGTATTTTTGCTTTGCAGTATTATAGTTACAGGCTTGTCAATACAGATGTGTTAGTTTTTACTCTTTACTGCAGTATGTACGCTTCCTCCTCATCCTTGAATTGCTGGGTGGCATATTGCTATGTGGTTACTGCTCACTATGTATGAACTAAGCTATTTTGTGTTTAGTGCCCTTTCAGTTGCTTGGAAAATGATGGTCTTTCTTCATTCACATGTACTTCCTGCCTGTGAGAAGCTGAGTAGTTGTATTTTTTGTTTGCTTTTAATTGTTTTTTCAAAGTTCCACACTTCCTGGAAACAAAAATATAAAAGAGTGTACCAAGACAGCTGTTTGCTGGCCGCAGCATAGTCCTCCTTGAGCTGTCTTTTGAAAAAGGCTGAGTTAAACTGTGTTTTTAAAAATGCGCATTTCAAATAATAGTAGTAACAAAAAGACAGCAAGGTGGATAATTCTATACCTTGGGAGAACATCCTACTAGGAATATCATAATTTAGGTAGTATCTTTTGTATTTTCAGATACATCGATCAGGGCCGCAATCCTCAGCTTTACACTAAAGAGTGTTTGGAGCGAGCTTTAGCTAAGAATGAGCAAGTGAAAGGAAAAATTGACACAATGAAGGTAAACCAGAAATAATGAAAATACTAATGTAATAATGTATTTGATAAGTTTTTACTTTTCTGTAAATATGTGGGGTTTTTTCACTTGTGAAGTTATTAAATTTCCTTATTAGGTGATTTGTATCAGGAGTTGCTCTGCATCCCTCTGTCTTAATTAATGATAGTGCACCCTGTTCTGGAAAGGAAATTTTTAATTTATCCCACACTTGGAGATGCAGATGTCACTATGATTTTATTTTGGTTAAAGTTGTGTGTAGCATTACAGATCTTTTTTGTAAATTTTCATTTTGAATACTAGTGAGTACCTCACACTGTTATAGATTTGTAACTGTGATGTGTGTCAATTTAGAAATAAGCAAAACAGAGGGGGTATTTTTTCAAATTGTGAATTACTTTTTGGAGGTGGAGGGGATTCCACATCAAATCAAGAGGACATGTCCTTTATCAGCTTTGCTTAATCAGGTCAGACAGATATTGACGTATCAGAGTTTACCAGAGAGGTCCAACTAGTTTGTATTTCTTAGGTGAAAATGGTAGTTAATTTGTGAGAAATAAAAAGCACTTTCCTTTTTCTGGTGCTTTCTTAACAAATTTCACTTGAGCGTTTTCTATGAATTTTGTAAATATAACTTTCTGTGTTTGTGTGTGTGATTTTGAGGGTTTTTTTCGGGTAGCATTTTCTTAGTTCACTGAAATGTAGAACTCTGTTGTATACAGACATTTCTGTTTATGACATAACATTGCTTAATGAAATCTAAATAAATGGTGCAGATGATGTGTATATGCATTTTTTTTCTCTTTCCAGAAATTTAAAAGTCTGTTAATTCAAGAACTGACAAAGGTATTCCCAGAAGACATGGCAAAGTACAAAGCTATTCGAGGAGAAGATCCTCCTCCTTAAGTTGGCCTTTGATAGCTCTAAAAATGTCAATTCTATAAACTGACACCACTCTATAAAAATATTGATTCCCGAGAGGGAGAATCCAAGCCTTCATAACAACAGTACTAAAAATGTCAGAGATGGACTGTAGAGGAGCTTGATGATTGCTGATGGTTCTGGACTGAACCTACTGAATTTTCCTGAAGGCTTTTACTCAAAGGTTGCAGCTGAAACTTCCTGTAGTGATCTATTCTTTCCTGAAAGGTTTTGAAGATAATAGTTGCCTGCAGGTCATCAATATATTTCCTACAAAGTACATTTCCAAAGCAGAAAATAATGGTTTTTTGTCTTCTGAAAAGTGTGCTCCGGGATTGTGGGTAATCTGTTTTTAAGAGAAATGTATTTATTATACTTGATTATTTTTCATTTGTAAACTGCCTTTTTTTTACAGTACGAGCAATTGACTGCTTTTATCTTGCCAAATTCTACTGAACAGGAGCCTGTCAAGGGCTGCAGTTCTTATGTGTCATAATGAATTCCAGCCAAGAAAACCTTCAGATATTTTTGTTTTGCTCTATGAGCTGCAGTGCAGATGGCTGAGGATATAGAAAGTGTGTGCATATGTGGGGACTAGCTCCTGACCAATGTTAATATTTTGTATAGTATTTAATGTAAGCTTTTGTTTAATTCTGTTCATTTTCTGTAAGCAGGTTGCTGAATAAAAATTTGAAAAAAAATTCTGATGGTTTTCAGTTGTATGCTACTCTTTGGAGAATGCATTGAAAGCTGTGAAACATAGTATATTTCTCGGTCTCATTGTGATAGAAATAAAATGTATACTGAAACTTGGCTGTTAAGTTTGTACTTGAAGATAATGTCAACTTGTTATTTTGGTTTTGGGTGAAAAAACTTCCCCTTTTTAGCTGTGAACTCTGTAACTGTTCATATTTAAAGTAGTCCCAACATAAAACAGCACGCTGAGTTCACTACCCCAGGGCACAGTGCGCGTGCAGGAGACTGGTTTTATGGTGGGAGTAAGAGCACCTGTTTTGGGGATTTGTGAAACTTCAACTGTTTGTGCTTACATTTCTCCTTCCAGATATAACTTGACTTCTTTTGCACCAGCAAATGAATTTATTATTTTGTTAACTTTATTTTAGTTGCTAAACTTAGTGGGTTTGGGCGGGAGCTCTGAAATAGCACTACATGTATGTGCTCTATAGGAGACCTACTGTCCTGGGTTCAGCTGAGACAGAGTTGACTTTCTTCATGGTTCCTAGTAAGAGGCTGTGTTTTAGATTTGTTCTCGGAAGAAAGCTGATAACATGCTGCCAGGACAGTCAAAGGTCTTTACAGCTTCTCTGCTGTTTGCAGGGGCAGGAGAAGTTGGGAGGGAGCATATTCCAATTACTAGCCTAGGATTTGATTTTAGGTTTAGGACTGAGACCCAAAGTGGCCAATAGTCTGTTCCATATCATACATGTCATGCCCAATATATAGGTGAGGGCTCTCTGGAAGCTCTCCTTTCTTGCTCCAGGTTGGCTCTCTTGGGGGGGTCCCT